CCCCACCTGCCCCCATGGCTTCGAACATGACTGTACCAGCCAGGAAACTGATTTTAAAATCCCATTTGGTTTAAACTGTGTTAGCATGAAACTAGACTTGCTTTCCAGACATGCCCTTTGCTGCGGTGGGGAGCTGAACAGCCGAGGGACAGGCCAGGAGAGGGCTTTGGGTGTTAAGCTCTGACTCACGAGGTCTTGGGTCAGCCCTTCCTTGCCATGGACTTCCTCTGACTGTGGGAAAGTCCCTCAGTCTGTCTCAGTTCCTCCTCTGTAAAGGGCAGAGCGCATGAGGGTGCTGTGGAAAGAGATGCATGAAAGACGGTGGCATGCTCAGAAGCTGTAGCAACAGGACCATGCCAGGTGCCTGGCTAAGGTAGACTGGCTCCGTCTCAGACGGAGCAGCTGTATTTCTCTGTTGGCTTCAAGAGGCTCAGCAGCCATTGTTGTGTTAGGAAGACTCGTATCCCCTGCTGTCAGACACGCGAGCGTGGCTGCGGAGTGAATGGAGGGCATGGCTTCCTCCTCCTGCCTTCAGCCTTGCAGCTGGGGGCCTGCTAGGTCAACAGAAGTCCCTGCGCGGGGCCGAGAGCAGAGCCGAGCCTGGTGCATGGTCCGTCGCTCCCCGCTGCATTGCTCGCACCGCCGGTTCTGCACGGCAGCTGGGGAGGAAGTGGGAACATGATTTGTAAATCCCCGCGCCCTGGCTCTGGCCCGCCCCAGCTCCCACGGCTCCAGCGTCTGAGAGTCCAGAATGATAGTGTCCCCTCCTGCAGGCAGCTCAGGATGGCAAGGACGTCCTCCCATCAGCTGAGCGGCCTGGGAGCTGCCCTAGCCACATGTGCGCTAGGTGCGGTACAGAACTATGCCCCGGCCCTGGAGAGGTCTCAGTCTGAGCAAGACGAACAGGAAGCGATGGTTGCAAAACAAGGTGGAAGCAAGGGCCCCAGCCGTGTGTCAGCGTCATGCATGGGCCACAGCGCAGGGAGGGCCTGGCTGTCTGAGACTACGTGTGGGCAGACAGGAAAGCCTCTTGCTGTGGAGACGCCGGGAGCTGAGACAAGGCAGCCAGAGGGCTCCGCAGAGGGATCCTCCCTCGCATCCCATACGCAGCGTGGTTTCTCCTAGCCCGTCTGTCTAGGAAAGGGAAGAGCCCTGCTCCTCCGTGTCGCCGTGCCTGGTCCTGGAGCCCTTCTGTCACCCCCAGCCTGGGCTTCTTGAGTGGGGCATGGATGGTTCAGGAGACACCCTCCCCTGTGCCCTGGCAGCAGTTGGATGGGTTTGTGCCCTCCACACCTGGTGGTTGGCCCCCACGTCCTAACCTGGGCCTGTCCTTTTGCTTGCAGATCAAAGGCTCGTGGTCAAATAAGAGGGGCTCGGAGTTTGCCAATCCCTACAGCCATAAAAGCATCCTCACAAACTGCTGCGCGGTGCTGTGTGGACCCTTCCACCCCAGGTAAGGGCTTCGTGTCGCTGTCTTTGGGCTTGCTCCTGGCAGCCGGCACTTACACCTGGGGCCACGCGTGGAAGCTGGGGAGGGGCACGCTCACGCTGGTGCCCAGGAGGCCTGGTTGCAGATGGGGTAGGGGCTGCTATGATGCTGGAGCCTCCAGGGGGTGAGGTGACCAGTTGGAGGCTCAGGGGAAGGTCAGGTGAACATGCACGTGCGGGTGCCAGCAGGCTTTTTCACCCTCCTCTGAAACCTGCTGCCTGAGGCTACTTCTGCCCTCCTGTCCTGGTGTGAGCAGCGTGGCTGGGATTTCCCCGTGGCGCAGCCTGGGTGGGAGCATGCAGTAGGCAGCTACTAGACGTATTTCCTGGGTCAGCGCCTTTCCTTTCTGCAGAGTTAAAAACCGGTGCCATGATGCCTGAACGTTGCTTGGCAGAGAGGCTGCAGGGGGCTGCACTAATCAGCTCTACTTGTTAGCGTAAATCCTTCAAGTCCTGACATTGCTGGAAGCTCTGTGGTGACTGAGAGCTATCGAAATGCTACGGTCAGACCAGGGTGAAAGTGGAGCACGTGGCAGGGGCTGTGGTTAAAGAGGATTCTTAGTTTTTTCTAACAGCTGCATGGTGCTGGTGATCACAAAAGGCTTGGGAGCTGCCTTGGCTACCGCCCACCCCTCCTCGCTGAGGTTTGGAGGGGTCTTGCTGCATGTGCCCCTGCTACAGCCTCCAGGTTGTCCGGGTGGGACCAGACCTGATGTTCCCAATAGGTCAGTGGTGAGAAACAAGCATCAGAGATGCTTTTGGGTCGGCACCTTCCACCCTGGGGTGCCAGCCCAGCTTTTCACTTGGCCACCCCCTTTCTGCCAGGCACGGCTGGAGCGGCTGGACTCCTGCAGTGACTCCCTCTGGCAGCTGTTGTGTAGATCAAACCAGAGGGCATGTGCCAGACTGCGGGCACCCCTGCCCTCCCGGAGAGGAGGGGTGCTGCCATATGACAAACTGGAGTCCTTGACCTGGTGGCAAGTTGCAGGTGGTGTGGCCACCGTGGCCTTCCAGCAATGCTGCAATTTCCTGGAGATGTCTAGTTCCCCGCCACAGTTGGGCCCACAGTTCCCGTTATAGCAGGAAGAACGCCAGACATCTCGGGTTTCTGCATCGCTGCTGCTGACTTGCATTGGCCAGCAATGCCAGCCCCGGGGGTGCTGGCTTCTGCAGGCCCCGGCATTGCAGAGGCCCCTGGCCCTCACGTTCACTGTTTCAAAGTGTTGACTTTGACTCGCTGATCTTTCCAAACAAATGGTGATTTGTGCAAGCTCAGGTGCATCGTTTCCCTGCTGCCCGGTCTTCTTTAGGCTCGGTGGTCCTGGCAGCTGTGACTCCAAGTCCATCCAAAGCATTAGTCAGGAGGATGCTGCTGGGCAGATTCCAGGCTTGTATCTTGTGCTTGGTTGTTGGATCTCACTCCTCGCAGGGACGTACAGCTCTTAGCCAGCTGACTGCTGTAGGGGAAACTGAATCTCTTCTGCTGGCAGGAAATCGGGGGTGTCACCTGGATGAGGTTTGCTCGTGCAGTTCAGGACTAGGTAAGACAGGCTGGCTTGGATAGAGATGGCCTCCTGAGGGCCCTGCCTTTCCATGGCTGGATGGGCACATGTTGCTTTGTCAGTCTCTTGGGGTTTTAAGGTTTCAGTGTGTTTTGGAGCATAGCTGTGGACGTGGGCAGCTGCTGTCCTGGTGCAGGGTTGGCTCCCTGCGCTGACTCTGCAAGGTGGCAGGATCCTATGGGCTGAGCTGAACCTGCTGCGAGGTGCTGGCAGACACGGCTCTAGCGTGCTAATGCTGGGATGCAACGAGGGTCTGAAATCCCCCAGGGCTGGGCGCTGGCTGGCTGCTTCCACAGCAGCTCTGGTCACTAAGACGCAACTCCTGGCGCTAGTTCTTTGATGAGCTTGGGATTAACTCCTCCCTTCTTGTCTTCTAGTTTAATAGACAGAAGAGGATTTATCCAGCCGGACGTCGGGACCCCATCCAGTCCCAAGAGCGAGGTCCCCTCCTTTGGAGCCAAAAGTGACACCAGCATGGTAGGAGGCATTCCCTAGCGGTGCTGTGCTCTAGCCTGTGCCTGTCATGCCTGTGCCTAGTTCCAGCCAGTACCTTCCCTGTTACTGCCTCCCTGGCCTCAGGCGGCACAGCCCTGTGATGCAGAGCTGCCAAAGACTCAGTCGAGCCATACGTTGCCTTCTTTTTTTTTAAATTTATTTATTGTTTTGTTTCACTGTGATAACGGGCCCCCCACGGACTCCGCTGTATCGGGATTGGCGAGCAAACCCCTGTCCTCCGAGGATGGAGGAAGTCTTGGGAAGACCCAGGCTCGGGGTGGTTGCGCCAGAGAGCTGCCACCTTCCCCCACCAGCACTGCCAAGTGGGCAGCAGTGTCTCGTGCGTGGGCCAGGGGTGAAATGAGCTCAGCCAGCAGCCCAGCTCCTCAGGTGTCTGCTGTAGCTGGGGGTTTGCTTCCTGGGCTGGTGAAAGTTGGAAGTGGCGGGATTGCCCGTTCTCTCTGCCAGTACCCCAGTGTTGCCAAGGGCAGCTCTGTGCGTCGTAAGCTGCGGTGCCATCAGGCCCTGCTCAGGGCCTGGCTTTTCCTCGCCAGCAACCGGATGGCTGTTCCCAGCAGATGGGGGAGCCCTCACCAGCTCTCAAGACAGGCTGGCCCACTCTTTGCCTCCAGGGCTCTGTTAGCCAATGACGGGGACATGCAGGGACAGAGGCAGCCCCAGGGGTGCCCCGGAGCTTGGCGATGACTAGAACAAAGTGCAGCACTTGGTGCTTCCCAGGCCGTTGCCCTTCTGTGGTCACTGCTGGATGTCTGGGCAGCACCACGTGACCAGGAGAGCCTAAGCGGTTCCACAGCAGCATCAGGGAGCAGACTTCTGAGAGACGTGGCCATCCCGAGCAGGGCTGTGTCGTGGGACCAGCAAATGCTGGTGTCCATCAGCATCAGGCCATGCTCTGGCTGCGGGTTGCCAGCCCCGGGATGGCCCCTTCAGAGTCCAGCCCTGCTCTGAGCTCCTCTGCCCTCCTGCCGGCGGTGGAAGCCATGCTCTGTGCCTCCTTGGCGCCAGTGTGTCCATGGGTTAGCCATGCTGGGATGTGTGTCTCAGGCTTGTTAGCGATATGCATCATTAAAAGTTGCTGGGTATTTTTGCACAATTCATAGAGTTTTTTACTAGTGTGTTTTGTATCTGGGTACAGGCGGTGGTAGGGAGCCCTAGCACCAGGCAGGGCTGGTGTTAGCTGGTCTGGACCCTGACCCTCTTCTTCCTCCCCTGCTGACATAAGCAAAGCTGGCTTGTGCGGAAGGGGCTGTGCTGCTGCTGGGATGCTCCGGCCGTGAGGGTCTGAGCAGGTCTCTGGGCTACCCAATTGCTTGAGGCAGGCCAGACACATGCCCCTACCATTGCAGAGATCTCAGTATTGAAGCGAGCCCTGCGTGCTCTTGCCACTAAGAATTCCCACTCGTACTGGGGGAGAGCGGAGGCGCCCTGCCTCGCTTCCCTCTGCTGATGGCAGGGACTGCGTGGCCAGCATATCGAGGCCTGTGAGCTGACCGGTCCTGAGCCCATCGCGGGCTCGGTGCACAAGAGAAGCGTCCCCCACCCCACGCGGTGTCCGGAGGCTGAACTTCTGGCAGAGCCCGGCAGGTGGCCCCCGCAGCCCAGGCACACAGCAGGCTGGCACGTCTCCGGAGGTTGATCTTAGCCTCATTCGCTGCCTCGGGAGAGGGACTCTCCAGAGCTGCCTGCCCAGCACCTGTTTCTAGCTCGCCTCGTGTTGCCCCTAACGCATCAGCACGGACTCTCCTGTGTTTCAAGGGGACCATTAACATTGCAGGTGTGAGGGCAGGACAGGCACTGGAGGCGCTGGTCACACTGGGAGGCTGCAGCCTTAAGTGCTGGGCTAGGACCGCTGGCCAGTGTGGGGGGCCGAGGGTTGCTGGAGCACTCCAGGGCAGTGGGGAGGGGTCCAGCTCAGCTCTCACGTTTTTATTTAACCCCATTCCCTTGTTACTTGCTGTAATAAATTCTATTTTTAAAGAGTTAATTGCTTGGGGTTTTTATTCCCTTGTGATGTGAGGTGGCTCCTGGCTGTAGTTACGCTGTAGTGTGAGGGTCTGTCCGGCGCGTGAGGGTAGGCTGTCCCTTTGCGTGGCAAGCCCTGCCCGGCTGCTGCGCTAGCTTCCAGCGGGCAGGGGCAGAAGGTGCCGCCAGCCCCGCAGCTCCTCCCTGCCTAGAACGCGCCCGGCTTCTCAGGGGTTTGCTGTTTCAGCTGCTGAAGTTGACCCAGGTCAACTTGCGCCTTCCTCTTGCGTCCGAGGGGAAGCCTCTCCCTGCCCCAGCCAGCGGTGCCCAAGGAGCTGAGCATGCCCCGAGGCTCAGTCTGCACCAGCTGAGATGCGTAAACTCTGGTGTCTTCCCCAGGAGGATGCCTGCCAGGACTTTGCCATTTCCTGCACAGCCTGATGGGATAGTCTCCCCCCCTGGATGTTAGCCCTGCTTTCTGAGGGTTAGCTGGTAAGAAAGCACCTTCTCCTTCCCTCCGGTCCAGTGGCTCATCTCATCTTCACTGCATGACTCGCTCTGTCCATGGATCCATCCGCCCTCTGGTGTGTGTGCACAGCGGGTACCACCGGCCCAGCCTCGCAAGGGGCATCATCTGTGCCGAGCGGCAGAGATTGCCACAGCCTTGGAGGGAGGCTAGGGCAGGCTTTGCCTGGGAGCAGGCAGCCTGAGCCCGAATGGGCATCGCTGAGCAGAGGCGCGCAGTGGGGGTGGGTGGCAGAGCTGCTGTGGGGGCAAAGGCAAGCCCTGGGCTGGGGCAGGGCTCTGGTGTCGCCTGGGGTGTGAGCACAGGGGGCCTGGAGCACGCTCCTGGTCTCAGCTCGGCTACCAGCAGAGCCCACAGCTAAGTCCCTTCCTCGTCTCTGGAATATGAGGCTCGTCCTTCCCCTGCACCTGTGCCAGAGGCAGGGACCCGCAGAGAGTTCGGCCTGCGGCAGAGACTCTGTTCTGTAGTGACAGGAGGCAGCAGCCCCAGGGACAGCCCCCCTAGCGCCTGCGTCGCTGCCCAGCTGGGCCTTCCATGCCCAGAGCACTGTGAGCAGCCCTGCCCCTGCCTGCCCAGCACAGTCCTGACCGCAGTCTGCATTTATGGACCCGAGACCAGCAGCCCTGTAGAGCCCCCGCACCCCTTCCACTGATCTCCTGCAGCGTGTGCAGATGTGAAGTAAGCCGTGTCCCGGCCGCATGCGCAGCGAGCTGTAAGTCTGCAGACTCCTGCTGACAGTGTGGCAAGGGCACTTTGCACTTTGTCCCCCTCTCCCTGCTGCGCTGTCTGGTTCTGCTGGAAGTCGTGCTCCCTCGTGGTCACCTGCTGCATGATGCTCCAGAGCAGCGTTGCTTGGGTCTCATTGCTCAGGTTCTGCCCAGCTGCCCTTTGCCTGCCAGGTTTCACCGGAGACTGGTGCTGTCGGGACCTCGTTCGTGCTGCTACGGTGGGGGGACGGGACAGCGCCGACAGCCCCTTGCGTTCTCCTTCTCTTCCTTTAGCTGGTCGGGATGATCCACTTCTGCTACCTGCTTCTCACTCTGGTCTTCCTTGTACTAACCCTCTCTTTCTCTTCCTCCCTTTTCCTTTCCTTGCCACTGACTGTGGGAAATCCAGTATGTTCAGGGCACTAAAGAGCTCTTGAGGACTGCTGCCCTCTGCCTCTCTTGGAGCAACCCAAGGGAAGCCAAGAGAAAGCGGACGATACCTGAAACTACAGCCATTACCACCACCTGTGCCTCCACTCTCCAGGGCTATGCTACAGCACCGGCTCCCCTCCCACTGCAGGAGAGGGGGGAAAGCTGCCATGCACAAGGGGAAGCCTCTCCAAGCCCCCACCAGGAGCCGGCGCACTCTGCTGTCCTGTGGGTTTGAAGCTTAAAGCCATAAAACCACCTGCTCCGAGTGCAATAACTAGAGTATCTACTGTCTCCTGCCGCCAGAAACACTTGCGCTACTGAGCTGAGGCTGTAGGTGGCTGCCTGCGACTAGCCTTACTCCGCAGTGAAGCATCTCCCCTTCGGTCAGTCCCAGAAGATGTCAGTAGTTATTAGTCAAGCAGCTCCTCTGAACTTAACAGGCTTAGTGCAGCGTTTGCAGCAGGGACACGGGCTGGTAGTTACTGGCTGTGCTGGCCAATACCCTCCCCAAGCTGCTTTCCTGGCGCACGCAGCCCGAGGCCCCGTCTCGCTGGCAGTCCGCGCGCTCCGAGGTCACCTTTCAGGCAGCGCTCGCCAGTAAGCTCAGCGTTTTCCGCTGTCTTAGGGCGGCTCCCGTTCTCAGGGAAGGTAGTAGAGCACAGCAGCAGCTTGCCTAGCGTCCATCCCTGTCCAGCCTCTTCCCCCTGCTACTGCAGTCAGCATTACCAGGAGCCTGCGCCTAGCAGCAAATGCACTAACGCTCTGGCCACTAGCAAACCGGGTGCGAGGCTTTACAAAGCAGCTAGTGCGAGACGGCCCAGCCCCGCACAGGCCGGGGGACTGGAACCGCGTCAGGCCTTTTACTTTTGTAACACAATAAAGTCTCTCCTATTTACTGTACCCGGACCCCTGGCTTTTGTTCCTCCAGGAAGGTGTGCCCCTTCTCTGCCGCTCGTGACTGCACACGTGTCCCCTGGGGGGGAGGTGGGGTGTGAATGAGAAGTCTCCTGCTCAGTGATTTCAGGCTGCAAGCCAGGAATATCTAGCTCCCTGGGCTGCTGTGCGCTGGTCCCAGCCACCCGGAGCCTGGCTAGGTGCAAGTGGCAGGTGCTGAGCTTTGCCACTTGTTCAGGCCTCATCCCTGTGAAACCCCAGGTGCTCCCAGGCAGCTCAGAGCCAGGCTGGGTCTTCCTGGAAACCGGATGCAGGGTGAGCTGCAGCTGGGAATCAGTCTGTCTTTTTTCCCCCCAAACTACCTGCGGGCTCAGTGCAGGGGGAGGAGGGGTGAGGGGCTGCTGGTTTTGTTGCTTCAGACCCAGGTGTATCTATTTAACTCATCCAGCTATCTTGCTGGGATCATTTGACCCCCCTGCTGCCTACCTGCCCTTTGGGCAGGGGCTTGGACCCAGTGTTTTTGCCAGGTCCTTCCAAGCCCTAATGTCTATGAACTGAAATCGGTGACACTGGGTACAGGTGTCTCCAGCTGCTTCCTTCTCAACTGCCCTGTTGCAAAGTTGCTGGTGGACCCGAGAGCTGCAGTTTCGCATAACTGTGGCAAGGGGCTGATCTGTCCAGAGAGGAGCGAGGGTGGGTCAAGAGCAGCAGGGGAAGCCGTGTTGCATGCTGCCGGGGAGCCTGGCACGTCGCAGGACTGAGGGATGGGTGCAGCAAGGCACGGCGGGGCTGCGGGCCTTCCAGCCAGGGCAGGAGGGAGTGAGTAGGAAGCCTGTTGTGTTAATGCCAGAGCAGGTCTGCAGCTCTGGCTGTCAGTGCTCGGAGCTGGCCTGATCCATGGGCCCCACTGAATGTCATCACCGCCACGGGGCGTAGCCTGGCCTGCCTCTGCGCACACATCTGCACACAAACTGGGTCAATTTGTCGGGCACCTTCTTGATGTGTTTGCTGCCGCTTATTGTTTCCGTTCATGCTGAGCTGTTTGTGAAGGGCGTCCCTCAGTCTGGTCCATGCACTGCCCGGGATGAGAAGGTGAAGTGGGGCCAGCCCAGGCCAAGCCCATCTTGCCATGCTGAGCCCTGTGCCATCCTGGCCCCCTGTTCTTCCTGCCACGTGCGCCCAGCGACTCGCGTTGGCCTCAAAGGGGAGGGAAGGGAAGGCGAGTTGACCAGCTCCAGGCCCGAGAGCCCCTTTTCTTCAGGGTTAACTTGATCCTCTGCTAAAATGGAGGCTTCTGAACAGCTCCTCTGGGTTAGGTCCAGTTCCACCAGCCGGGAGGCAGACGCGTGTGGCAGCATCGGCACTGGCTGCCGGACTGCAGCGGGGCCCTTCCTTTTCCCACGGCAGCGCCACGGCTTTTCTCAGAGCAAACAGGGACACAGATCAGGAAGGAGCTAATTCCTCCCTCCAGCCAGGGAAGAGAGGCTGGGGCTCACCCATGCTTGTTCCTTACCTCTCCGCTGGGCTTGGGAGCAGACAGGCTTGCTCAGTTTAATTCTCCAGCGCCGAATGCAGCAAGCATGTGCCCTGCCTCAAGGCCCCTGGTGCAGCGAAGGGATCGCAGAGCTGCCTGAAGGAAAGGCGCCTCGCCTGCCGCCTCTCCACGGTCAGCTGCACAGGGCAGGAGGCTGCGCAGACCCTACTGTGCGGCGGGCGAGCCACCCCCAAAGGGGAAGCAAACCTGGGGGGGGGACGTTCACACCTGGGAAGGAATGACGCGGCTGTGGCTAGAGCACGTGGGCACCCACCACGTGGCCTGGCATCCCCTCTGACAGCCTGCAAGCTGCTCCCCCCATGGAGGGCCTGGGACCCGCCGGGTGCTACTTGCCAGCATCTCTTTTGGAAACACTCATTGCTGGTTCCAGCGCACGGCTACTTGGGCGCCTGCAGCACCAGGGTCCCCGTCACCCCCATGGGGCCCCAGTGCAGCATTCAGGCCCCAGAGACGGGGGGACACGGGACAGGGAGTGCAGCACTAGGTGGGACCTGGGAGAACTGGGTTAAAGCCCTGCTCTGACACACATTTCCTGCATGAGCTCGGGCGAGTCCCTTTGGCACCAGGCCGCGGCGTTGGGCCGTGGGAGCTGCGTGTGGAAATCTCTCGCAGGTTCTGGGCCTCGGTGCCCGTCTGTGCGACAGCAGGGATCACTGTGCTGCCCGCTCTGCCCCGTGGTGCCGGGAGGGGCTCAGATCCCTTGGTAATGATTACTCAGGGAGCAGGGAAGGCCTCTCAGCTAATTGCACCCATTGCACCCAGGAAAGCTAAGCACAAGTCACAGGGCTCAGCCTCCCCCGCCTCATCCAGGAGGGATTCAGCGCTGTAGCTGGGTCACAGCATTCCCCTCAAATCAGCAGCGAGCTGGTCTGATCTCACCGGGGTGTCACCGGGGCCTTTCAGCAGAGAAGGGCTCAGACGTCAGCTGGGGGGAGACACTCCAGGGCTCTGTGCACGGATGAGTAGCGCCGTGAGTCACGCAGCCAGAACAATTCCTCAGCGCAGTGGGACAGCTGAGTTGCCAGCCCCACCCTCCCCGCAGCGGATAACATGGAGGATTAGCGCAATGAGTTTGTCACGCCGCGTCCTGGCAGCAGCAGAAAGGAGCAGTCGGCTCCCAGCAAGTGGGAACAAGCTTAATCAGTCTGAGAGTGAAACTGCAGCGTAACTGGAGGAGGAGATTCTAATCAGGGCACATCACGGCGAGAGGCAGCGGAGCGCCGCAGACGGTCCCTTTTCCCTATTTCATCGAAGAGGCTCTGAGCCGGGCCGGTA